TTAAGCGTTTAATGGGTTGAAATAAATTAAATCCAAGGCCTCCATTATAGGTTGTTAGTGAAGTGATTTAAATCGAGCCCAAAGGACGTTTTATTTCACAGTTCACAAGGACAGATCTCCTTCGAGATGGTAGTAGCGAGCTATTTCGAAAGCATACAGGTCACCCAAAGGTGGACGTATAATTTTGGTAGTAAACTTAGTACCAATTAATGGGTTACACTTAAAGTACAAATAATTACGATATTCCCAAAAGAAAAGGTTGTTTTTATTTCAATAAGTTCCTTGATAAAGAACGAGGGACACATTGACTCAGTGCACTGGCCAAAAGATGAACCGACTATTAATTAAGTACTGTTTGGACGGTATGATAATTAATGAGATTAATCCCTTCTCCTGTGATGGCTTGAACCGTAGACGTCCACACTCCGTGGCCTACGGGATTCGGTGTTTTGAGGTGTCGGTGAATTTATTCAAATGTTGTTTTGAAGGGATCAATATTTGATGTTAAATTAAAAAACACTTGACTGAGTAAAGCCTATGTTTGCATGATCCCAGGAATTCAAAATGTCTTTTATTCCGTTGTCCGTAATTCTCAAAGATAATTTACTTGTTCAAATATGATTAGAAATAGAACTTGGATAGTGTCTTATTTTGCTGAGGAATACAAGTCAAAGGACAAGCGTATCCGGTCTAAGCAAAATAGACATAGGAAGATGAACTGCCCTAATCTTAAGACAATAAAGGTAAATCTTATTCACTAGAAAGTCGGAACATTTTTAATGGTGTTATCTATCAATACCTGGTGAATAGATACATAACCACTAAATATGTAAAAAGGTTCCAGGAAACCAATCGACATGTGATAGATAGATTACCATCTAGAATGGGTTTTGCTACAAAAGTGGCGACTATTGTAGTGGGAGTTCTCTATAGAAATTTTGGTTTATGAGTAATTGTTTTTATGTGGCAAGTCTTAGAAAGAACTCATGTTCAGTTTCTAAATTGTATATGGAGGTTACATTTGCTGTTTTTGAAAAGCGAAATGTTTTATCCATTTGGTACAAGGTTGGACAATTTGTAAACTCAAATAAACCAAAATATCTCAGAATGAGTTTTCTATAGAAATTTTGATTTATGAGTAATTGTCTTTATGTGCCAAGTTTTATAAAGAACTCGTGTTCAGTTTCTAAATTAGGAATGGATAAAAATGTGGTGTTTTATCCATTTGGTATGTGGGTAGACAATTTATGAACTCAATAAGCCAAAATATCTCACAAGTGCGGTAAATGAAATAAATAGCACATCGACTAGATACAATAAGAAGAGAGGTCCTTCAATGAATGAATCATACATTATTTTTGGCATCTAGTATTTGGGAATTTTAGCAATAGTAGAATTCAAAGGTCGATAACCACTGAACTTATGGGTTCTTTCGGAATGGATGAAACTATCAGACCTACGAATTATACTTGGCCGCTAAAATGACATAAATGACCTTTTGTAGGTCAAGGGATTTAGAAGCCAAACATATGTTAGGATTAATTCACCCGATTTGTGAAGTTCTGTGATTTTTAGGACAAAAGGTAGTTTTGAATATTTTTCTTTGAAGAAATTTGCTCAAAACAGGGTACATTAAGTGACATTCCATAAGCTTAAGTACATCGAATGAGTGCAATGGCAATTATGGAAAAATGTCGAGATTAATGTATCTGTGACATTTCGATCGAAATCATGGTGACTAAAACCTTTTAGAAAATCATGGAAATACTTGTTGGACTTTGAGATTTGGTCTCAACGGGTTGCAGCTAGTTCATCGGAACAGGACGATGCAACTTAACAAAGGAAAATATCTTTTAAGTAGATTGGTTATGTCAAGGATGAGTTATTAGGAATTTCATTTTTCGTATTGGAGTTGTAGCGCCCTGTTTGAATTATGTAATTTTTCCAGATTATTTAATTATCGTATTTTATTTAATTATCGTTTGAATTATGTAATTTTCCCAATTTGTTTAATCGTATCGATCAGAAGTCCTTGTTATCACGTTATTCTACCGGCCCAATTGTTTGTCTTAAGTAAATCATTTTTCTTTTATTTCTCGGCCCACACCTCACTTAGGCCCAAGAAGCCATCCCACCTCTCATTTGAGCCGGATTTCTCACTTAGAACGGGTCTCCTTTCCCGAACGAACTTTCCTCTTTTCTCGGCAATCAATCCTCCACCCTCAACGACCTCGAAGCTCGATCCCATGGAATTCGGCCCCTCATTACCGTAATCCTCACAGTATTTAAATCAGAAGAGAGATTAAAATTTGGCAAACCCTATAACTCCCCGAATTTCTCTATCGCGAGCAAAATTCGAGAGCGAGCTTTTTCCCGAAACGGCTTAGCATAGGTGAACCTATAGAAATCTGGCGAGTCTCGATCAAGCAACCGAGGGCGGCATCACCTGCGAGTTCCGTGGCGCGGCTGAAACGAGCACCAGTGGCGAAACTACGCTATGGCAAGGAGTGGCCTCGGCCATCCCATAATTTTTTTTTTTAATAGGTATAGGGGCCGAGGTCGCCGGCCGGAGGCGGCGCCCTTCCATGAACTCAATAAGCCAAAATATCTCACAAGTGCGGTAAATGAAATAAATAGCACATCGACTAGATACAATAAGAAGAGAGGTCCTTCAATGAATGAATCATACATTATTTTTAGCATCTAGTATTTGGGAATTTTAGCAATAGTAGAATTCAAAGGTCGATAACCACTGAACTTATGGGTTCTTTGGGAATGGATGAAACTATCAGACCTACGATTTATACTTGGCTGCTAAAATGACATAAATGACCTTTTGTAGGTCAAGGGATTTAGAAGCCAAAAATATGTTTAGGATTCATTCACCCGATTTGTGAAGTTCTGTGATTTTTAGGACAAAAGGTAGTTTTGAATATTTTTCTTTGAAGAAATTTGCTCAAAACAGGGTACATTAAGTGACATTCCATAAGCTTAAGTACATCGAATGAGTGCAATGGCAATTATGGAAAAATGTCGAGATTAATGTATCAGTGGCATTACGATCGAAATCATGGTGACTAAAACCTTTTGGAAAATCATGGAAATACTTGTTGGACTTTGAGATTTGCTCTCAACGGGTTGCAGCTAGTTCATCGGAATAGGACGATGCAACTTAACAAAGGAAAATATCTTTTAAGTAGATTGGTTATGTCAAGGATGAGTTATTAGGAATTTCATTTTTCGTATTGGAGTTGTAGCGCCCTGTTTGAATTATGTAATTTTCCCAGATTATTTAATTATCGTATTTTATTTAATTATCGTTTGAATTATGTAATTTTCCCAATTTGTTTAATCGTATCGATCAGAAGTCCTTGTTATCACGTTATTCTACCGGCTCAATTGTTTGTCTTAAGTAAATCATTTTTCTTTTATTTCTCGGCCCACACCTCACTTAGGCCCAAGAAGCCATCCCACCTCTCATTTGAGCCGGATTTCTCACTTAGAACGGGTCTCCTTTCCTGAACGAACTTTCCTCTTCTCTCGGCAATCAATCCTCCACCCTCAACAACCTCGAAGCTCGATCCCATGGAATCCGGCCCCTCATTACCGTAATCCTCACAGTATTTAAACCAGAAGAGAGATTAAAATTTGGCAAACCCTATAACTCCCCGAATTTCTCTATCGCGAGCAAAATTCGAGAGCGAGCTTTTTCCCGAAACGGCCTAGCATAGGTGAACCTATAGAAATCCGGCGAGTCTCGATCAAGCAACCGAGGGCGGCATCACCTGCGAGTTCCGTGGCGCGGCTGAAACGAGCACCAGTGGCAAAACTACGCTATGGCAAGGAGTGGCCTCGGCCATCCCATAATTTTTTTTTTAATAGGTATAGGGGCCGAGGTCGCCGGCCGGAGGCGGCGCCCTTCCATGAAATCTGCGCACAGACCGTCTGATCATATCCTTCCATTGACGAGACCACCGGTGAAGGACCCGTGTTCGATCCTCATCGAGGCCATATGTGAGAAACCGGTGTTCGCAGAACCGGCCTCCGTAAATCCAAAATTGAAGGGAAATTTCTGAAAATCAAGAATTTTGGGCTATATGAAAAAGTGAGAGAGATGGAAGAAGATTTGAGCTGGCTGATTCTTGTGATTTTGGGAGAATTCGGGGAGGGCTGCGAAAGAAGAAAGAAGAATTTGGGATAAAGGAAAAGGGGAACTGTGAAAGGAAAGAGGAAGTGATGGGAAGAACGAAGAGAAAGGAGAGAGAAGAAAAAGGAAAAAATAAAATAAAGAAAAAAGTGGTTTTGGGCTTTGGATTTGGGCTTGGTGTGTGAATGGACCAAGGAATTATAATGGTGGACTAAAACAAAATCTACTTTGGAAGGAGCTTCAAACCAATTACCGAGCTATTATCGATCCATGCCTCCTTACTTGTAGACTCCCGAAGCGCGGTAATTATTCTAAGTCGATGTTAAAATTCTTTTAAGAATTTTGCTTAGATTAATTTTAGATATTTCTGCTTAAGTAAGAATTTCGAGTTATCGAGATAATTTATTTAGGATAAATTATCTTGATTAAATATAGGTGTTTGAGGAGTCGAGACCTCAACCTACGACCAGCAAATTGTGTGCTAAGTCCTACCGCGATTTCGTGTAAAAGGATTCACACTAGGGGCGGTACCGTAATTACTTGGTTTGTTGCGTTCACACTTAAAGAGTTGATGCTATTCGGGAAAAGCATTATAATGATGTTGCACGACATATAGAAAGTGGTGAGATTTCTACAGGGACAGGCAAGAATCAAGAAACGAGTTTAGCTCGACCGGGTGCTACACCCTTTATTCGGCTGATGAAAAATCGGCCATCCCTTTATTCGGATTCTGGTTTCGCCACTGACGAGCACCAAAGGCCGAAGAGTTCGAGTTTTCAACGACCAAAACTTCAGTTTCTGACGGCTGAAGAAATCCGGCGAGTTCCAGGCGGGACTGTCAACCGTCGTCCATTCACGGTGAGATGAGCACCACCAGACCAAGAACGCCAGATTCCGGGCGTTGATGAGAGCTGACCATGGTAGAAAGGAAAGCCGACAACCCTGAACGAGCGGACCTTGCAGCGGTGAGCCGAAGGCCTCTATCTGGCAAGTGGCAGCCTTTCGTGGTGAACCGAGGACCACCGGTCGGACAGAGGAGCGGTCGAGAGTAGCAGTCCCAGCCGAGCTTAGCCTTTTTCCGAGCACTAGTCCGAAGTAGTGGAGTAATTTCCGAGCGCATCAGCTTTCTGGTGAGGAGTCCCGAGCCGTCCGAGGTTGAAACGGCAGCTTTCAAGAGTCGGGGATTCGGGACCGAAAGCTATTGTTCAGCATCCAAACACCTAACTTTGGGACCGGAGTGCCCCGTGTTTATCTCGTGCAGCAATCTGAGTGCCACTCGAGGCTGAAGACGGGCAAGATATGCCGAGAGCTTTTGCTTCAGCCAGTTGAGCCTCGCGCGTCCAAACTGAGCCCCCGTTCCGTCTTTGTTTCTTAAAACTCGAGAGAGGTATTCGACTAAACCTTTATACCCCTATTTCTAGCCGATTTCAGCAGTGTTGTGCGTTTGTAATTGTCTGTTGAGTAGATGATTTTGGCTGTGAACCAGTTAAGTCATGTGGACTTATAGTTAAATTCTCTATGTGCATATGTAATGGTTGGTCAGGTTGTTTATTTGTGGTCAGGTCAAGTTTTGATTTATTTATTTGATTGGAAATGTTAAGCTGTATGAATGGTTTTTAAATGAGGTTTCATTATCTCATTGTTGAAACCTTGATTAAAATGATTATGGTGGAGTTTTGATATTGCAAATATTTTGTGCTTATGTGTTGATAAAGCGAGTTTTGTAATGTCTGTCTACTTAAAATAAGAAGGCTTTATTAGTTTAGTAGTTATGTGATGTATATGATGAGTTGTTGAGATTGTTTCATGTGTTGATTTTTTTAGGCCTTATGTGAGTTGCTGCAGCATGTCATATGTTCATATTTATGAGTTATGCTTTATTATCGGAGCCGTGATTTCAGATTATAGGGCCTCAGTATGTAATGTATGGATTAGAGTATTGATAGATGAGAGGCAAAGCATGTTGTGTGGTAATCTAGTGACCTCCATTATGATATGTTGCTGAACTTTTAGTATATGTTCCATTGGTTGAGACATACATTTTAGGGGTTTTAAATTAAATTTCAATTCAAAGGCCTATTGTGGATTTCTTAAATGTGGAGAAAAGAAGGATGATAAGAAGGCAATATCATATGATATTTTGTATGCTCTATTTGATTTCCTATTTTTGCTGGACTTTATGTATTTTGAAGGAACTGTTATTACGTGTATTTGATGAGTTTAGTTGCTATTTATGTGGCCTAAGTGTTAGGTTAATTTGAGTTTTACTTCTTGAGTGGTGTAATCAACCCAATCAAAACCCCTAATTAATTTAATTTGAGTAGTGGAGTATTCAATTGTGTTGTCTTTAAAGTGGGAAAATTTAGTGATAAAATTATCTTACTTAATGTAGATTTTGGAGTAGTCGAGCCCTCAAATCTACCTTGACTCGCTCTCATTTTCGGTTGTCCGAACATCAGGTGGGTTTTATTTGAAATTTGCTATGTAATAAATTGTTGCCTTACGTGTGGTATGATCAATGTATGCATGTGAACCATGTAGCCTTCGATGGAAGCTGTATCGGTCGTCGAATGGTTTTTCCCGTGATTACAAAATAAACCCGAGGGGTTACTCCTACTGACTGGGCACCGATAGAAGCCCAAGGGGCATTCGGTGTATAAGCCTGGGCGAGGGCTTAGGCGTAATGCCCGAGGGGAATTCATTGTAAGACCTGAGCGAGGGCCTTCGATACGTTTACCAGCAGTAGTCTATTGGTATAGATGTGCACATGAGTCTTAACACTGTGAATTTATGATAAAAATTTGGGATACTTGATTGATTCTTATACATGCTGCGATCATATTGTTTTATATTTTGAATATTGTTTATTGCATAGTGGTGAGCACTACGTTTTCCATTTGTGCTCACTTCCACCTGAAATTAACATTTCAGGTTGAGCAAGGCGGGCATGTCGGCGAGAAGGAGCGAGTGGTAGTCGGTCTTTATGACCAGAACACTATTTGTTGCTTCCGCTATTTACGAACTGATTTATGAATTTATGAAATTATGAACTGTGGGATTTTATGAATAATGTTGGGGAGATGTCCCGTGAACACTGTGGTGATTTATGGTAACCCGGTTTGGGTAATTGATGAATTTATGAGATCCCGTTTTGGGAGTTTGATGATTGACAATTTAGGAGTTGATGATATGCCATAGAAATGATTTTGAAATAAATGAGTATCGCCACAACTGATTGAATTAAATTTTGAAAGATTTTATATGATTTTTCTAAAAGTCCGGAATTTCTTTAAAATCAAAGTGGGGCGTTACAGTGTGGTATCACAGCAGGTCTACGTTTCTGTAGACTGCTTTATGTGATTTATGTGCACTCTGTGAAAGTATTTGAATATTATGATGACCACTCACTCCCGTCGTGCCGCGCCAACTCAGGTATGAATACCTGAGTAATATTGAATTTCTTATGTGAAATATTATGATATTATGAGATGTAAACCGAGGCTTAGGAATTTATCCTCATACTTTTAACAGTTTTGGAACTCTAGATGAGTGGCGAACCTTAGTTGTATGAACTTGAACTCTAGCAAAATAGAGTTAAGTTCTAACTTGAGGTTTTATTTGTTGGAAAATTTGATATGATGTTATCGAGCTGAGTTCTGTGTATAACAGTCCTCTCGATGTAAATTTGGTGTCTTCGGGTGAGGACCATTCGCGGGCCATCTCGAAAGAAGAAGGCTTAAACGAAGGGAGCAGACAACCGAAAAAGTCCCAGGTGTGTGGGGTATTCGGAAGTCTGTAACCATGGTTAATAAGACCATTAGATGCGTATTAGAACCCAGTCGTATGCGAACTGGAGTAGAGTCGGGGTGCCTTGTCCACGCTGTTGTTCGACCATGATGAGTGGTGAGAGAACTTAAAACGTAACACCGTCGCGACTCTCGAGAGTGGTTAAGTCTGGAGAAAGGACCTATTCTTTTAAGAAAATTCTCAAACGAAGGAATCTGACCTTGTTCTTAAGGCGGATAGACCGATCCGGCACCACGTGAATATTTTATTCTTAAAGGAGACGTCAAAAATTCTCTTCCGTATTTTGAGCCGCGAGCGATTTCCTAGCGACAATGGGACTTACCGTGGACAACATGAATTGATAGTGAAGGCAGTAAATCGTGGACTTGTGGAAGCGAAGCCGTCTTGTTCCTTCTTAAGCTTTTACCTTCTCGTAGGCTTTTGTAAAACCATATTATATTCCCGTTTCGCTTGGCAGCCCAATGTTGATTTGTGTTTGAGACTTCTTTTGGGCTATGCAATTTCCATACTTTGAAACTTTCGCTTGTCTTTTCTTTCCTTCGTAAGAAGAAGATCGGATGGAGATAAGCATCTTATTTTTCTGTAAATCTAGGTCTGCCTCCGCAAGTCTAAGAACCTCGTTTAGAATTGCCTTGAAGGCAAGCTCGAAGTTTGTTTTGAGACCCTTGCCTGTTATCCAATTTTCACGATTTCGCTAGATTTTCCTTTCCTGGCATAGAATTCCAGATAGGATTTAGCCTCGACATTTTTATTTTCTATTGATCCTTATCTTTTGAAGTTTGTTTCGTGATACCTCTAACTCGAGCAATAGACAGTGGAGGTTTACTTGTTTTATTTGGGGTATGTTCAAACCCCTACCTTAGATTCGCTGTGTAAACTATTTTAAGCTTTCCAACTTTAAAATTCGCTTCTCTTGAAGTTTAGCCAATTCTAGTTTATCTTATGTTCGGTATTGACTTTGTTTTGAAAACCCGGATGGCAAGTAAGATTAAGCATCATTTTGTTTCTGCTTATCTTTATTCGCTTGCGAAGTATGTGACTTTCGTCGGGATGCTATCTTTAAGTTATCACGAAAACTCGAGGGCACGATTTTCTGTCTCCACTCTCGAGGGTAATTTACCCTCGAGGAAGACAATAATTATTCGTGTACGACATCGAGATGAACGTACGGGAGCAGAAGCCAACACAATTCGGTTTGATAAGAAAGATGGAGTGTTTTTCCACCTTAAAAGATTATGCAGAAATCTTTTAAGGAGGATAGTCAAGTCTGGAGCAAGCACATCGTGTAGTGCAGAACCGTCCTTATTTTAAATTTTTTGTTCATCGTAGAAATTTTCGTTCTTTTACTCCTTTCGGAATTTCGGAAGGAACTTCGCGTTCAAATTCCAAAATGTGAAGATTAGGAAGTCAGTTGCACTCGATCAGGACTACTGGCACGGTTAGCTGCTTGGATAAAAGCTGACGTGACAGTCGACACTGTTAGTCGGAAGAGTCGAGGTGAGCTAGTTGTTGTAATTCCCGTCAGGAGCTATTGATTTGTGATTACCCCCGACTGAAAAACCGTATTTGAATTCCTTTGAGAATTCTAGCCTATCGCAAGCGTGTGATCTTTTTTTGTATTAAGTGTGTCGTTTTGGAGAGTAGTGGACTTGGAACTCGGACTTACACCTCGCTATTTTTGAAACTCTTGAACTTTTGAGATTGTGAAACGACTGAAACATATATTGTTTTGTTGACCCCAAAATTTTCGAAATTTTGTAAAACCATTCCTTTTTGGTAGCCTTGAATTTTAATTTCTTATGGAAACATGGACCAAACGCCGACCCTGGCTGGGTGTAGCCACGCAAAGTGGTGGCCGAGCACGCACGACCGTTCTGAGAGACGTAAGGGTAGCGCGCAGCCGACCGTCGACTCGCACGTGAGTTGCAACCGCCATTACCGAACGCACGAACTCCCCAGGCCAGCGTGTGCGGCCAAATCTCGACCTTGTAGCTGGTCTCCGAGTAGGTGTGTACGCGCGCGTCCCAGCGCCCCGCTTATGCAGTGTGAACGAGCGTGCTGCCTCTTGGGTGACGATGCACTAACCCCGAACTATCGATTTCTTTCCTAAACTATCGACCCATTTTGTGCTAAACTATTTGGTTAGACATTTTGAACCCTTTATTTCGAGCTTTAAAACGAGAGCTCCAAGTTCCACTAAAATGTGTATGAATCCGTAATCGACGATTTTCGATTAAGGAGTGTGGTCGATAAGAACCTATGCTTTACGCGAGAGTTTTTCTCGAGTCGGCAAATTGGGAAGTTCGTGTTGCTATTGGACGAAGCCTTATGTTGTACATAAGGGCTACGCTCGATTCATGGAGTCGATATCTTGAGAGTTTGAGTATTATGGTGTGGTGTTGTCTGTATGTGATACCGGGTCGTTGTCTCTGATGGAGACGCATGACCCGTGATGAAATCGTGAGCAAGTCATCAGTGTGACTCGGACACGGGACTGAAGCTTGGCGTCACATGCCCACCTTGAAGGTGAGGCAGTCGGAGTACGCTATCAATACATCGAATGACCTGTTGAGGTCATGTTTGTTGTTAGGTACGAAGCAAATATTAGATACTCATGGGTATAGGCCAATCCGGACTGGGTCCCTTGCAAGATGATGTACGCCTGAGCTCGGGTAGGATTGATCACCCTCCTATGCAAGAAGGCAAACATATGAGCATAGGGCGAATCGGATTGGGTCCTGTATGTGAGTGTATACTTTTCGAGTATAGGGCGATAAGACTCATGCGAGCGGGGTCGAGTTTCGGAGGGGATACCCGGATCTCATGATTGGAAATTCCAGTTCGAGTCTGCCGTTTTTCTTTTAGATGCGTGTTCTTTCACATTTTCGAGGACGGAAATATTTTAGGAGGATAGATTATAGTGCCCCGTTTGAATTATGTAATTTTCCCAGATTATTTGATTATCGTATTTTATTTTATTCTGGTAATTACTCGATATTCTCGGCCAGTCTTATTATTTTAATTGGAGGTTCTCGTCTAATTGATTTAATAAGTCGAGCTATTTTATTATTATCCATTGCCAATTTGTTTAATCGTATCGATCAGAAGTCCTTGTTATCGCGTTATTCTACCGGCCCAATTGTTTGTCTTAAGTAAATCATTCTTGTTTTATTTCTCGGCCCACATCTCACTTAGGCCCAAGAAGCCAGCCCACCTCTCATTTAAGCCGGATTTTTCACTTAGAACGGGTCTCCTTCCCCGATCGAATTTTCCTTTTCTCTGGGCAATCAATCCTTCACTCTCAGCGACCTCGAAGCTCGATCCCATGGAATCCGGCCCCTCATTACCGTAATCCTCACTGTATTTAAATCAGAAGAGAGATTAACATTTGGCAAACCCTATTACTCCCCCAATTTCTCTATCGCGAGCAAAATTCGAGAGCGAGCTTTTTCCTGAAACAGCCTCGCAGAGGTAAACCTATAGAAATTCGGCGACTCTCGATCAAGCAACCGAGGGCGGCATCACCTGCGAGTTCCGTGGCGCGGCTGAAACGAGCACCAGAGGCCGAAGAGTTCGTGTTTTCGGCGACCAAAACTTCAGTTTCCGACGGCTGAAGAAATCTGGCGAGGTCCAGGCGGGGCTGGCGACCGTCATCCATTCACAGCGAGATGAGCACCACCAGACCAAGAACGCCAGATTCCCAGCGTTGATGAGAGCTGACCGTGGCAGAAAGGAAAGCCGACGACTCTGAACGAGCGGACCTTGCAGTGGCGAGCCGAAGGCCTCTGTCTAGCGAGTGGCAGCCTCTCACGGCAAACCAAGGACCACCAATCGGACAGAGGAGCGATTGAGAGTAGCAGTCCCAGCCGAGCTTAGCCTTTTTCCGAGCACCAGTTCAAAGTAGCGGAGCAATTTCCGAGCATATCAGCTTTTCGGTGAGGAGTCCCGAGCAGTCTGAGGTTGAAACGGCAGCCTTCGAGAGTCGGGGATTCGGGACCGAAAGCTTTTGTTCAACATCCAAACACCTAACTTTGTGACTGGAGCGCCCCGCGTTTATCTCGTGCAGCAATCTGAGTGCCACTCGAGGCTGAAGACGGGCAAGCTATGCAGAGAGCTTTTGCTTCAGCCAGCTGAGCCTCGCGCGTCAAAACTGATCCCCCGTTCCGGCTTTGTTTCTTAAAACCCGAGAGAGGTATTCAGCTAAACCTTTATACCCCTATTTCTGGTCGATTTCAGTAGTATTGTGCGTTTGTAATTGTCTGTCGAGTAGATGATTTTGGCTGTGAACCAGTTAAGTCATGTGGACTTATAATTAAATTCTCTATGTGCATATGTAATGGTTGGTCTGTTGGTTTGTTTGTGGTCAGGTCAAGTTTTGATTTGTTTAATTGATTGAAGATGTTAAGCTGTATGAATGGTTTTTAGATGAGGTTTCATTGTCTCATTGTTGAAACCTTGATTAAAATGATTATGGTGGAGTTTTGATATTGCAAATATTTTGTGCTTATGTGCCGATAAAGCGAGTTTTGTAATGTCTGTTTAGTTAAGATAAGAAGGCTTTATTAGTTTAGTTGTTATGTGATGTATATGATGAGTTGTTGAGATTGTTTCATGTGTTGATTTTTTTTTGGCCTGATGTGAGTTGCTGCAGCATGTCATATGTTCATATTTATGAGTTATGTTTGATTATCGGAGCCGTGATTTCATATTATAGGGCCTCAGCATGTAATGTATGGATTAGAGTATTGATAGATGAGAGGTAAAGCATGTTGTGTGGTAATCTAGTGACCTCCATTATGATATGTTGCTGAACTTGTAGTATATGTTTAATTGGCTGAGACATACATTTTAGAGGTTTTAAATTAAATATCAATTCAAAGGCCTATTGTGGATTTCTTAAATGTGGAGAAAAGAAGGATGATAAGAAGGCAATATCATATGGTGTTTTGTATGCTCTATTTGATTTCCTATTTTTGCTGGACTTTATGTATTTTGAAGGAACTGTTATTACGTGTATTTGATGAGTTTAGTTGCTATTTATGTGGCCTAAGTGTTAGGTTAATTTGAGTTTTACTTCTTGAGTGGTGTAATCAACCCAATCAAAACCCTAAATCAATTTAATTTGAGTAGTGGAGTATTCAATTGTATTGTCTTTAAAGTGGGATAATTTAGTGATAAAATTATCTTACTTAATGTAGATTTTGGAGTAGTCAAGCCCTCAAATCTACCTTGACTCGCTTTCATTTTCGGTTGTCCGAACATCAAGTGGGTTTTATTTGAAATTTGCTATGCAATAAATTGTTGCCTTACGTGTGGTATGATCAATGTATGCATGTGAACCATGTAGCCTTCGATGGGAGCTTTATCGGCCGTCGAACGGTTTTTCTTGTGATTACAAAATAAACCCGAGGGGTTGCTCCTACTGACTGGGCACCGATAGAAGCCCGAGGGGCATTCGATGTATAAGCCTGGGCAAGAGCTTAGGCGTAATGCAAGGGCTTAGGCGTAATGCCCGAGGGAAATTCGATGTAAGACGTGAGCGAGGGCCTCCGATACGTTTACCAGAAGTAGTCTATTGGTATAGATGTACACATGAGTCTGAACACCGTGAATTTATGATAAAAATTTGGGATACTTGATTGATTCTTATACATGCTGCGATCATACTATTTTATGTTTTGAATATTGTTTATTGCATAGTGGTGAGCACTACGTTTTCTATTTGTGCTCACTCCCACATGAAATTAACATTTCAGGTTGAGCAAGGCTGGCATGTCGGCGAGAAGGAGCGAGTGGTAGTCAGTCTTTTCGAGCAGAACATTATTTATTGCTTTCGCTATTTACGAATTGATTTATGAATTTATGAAATTATGAACTGTGGGATTTTATGAATAATGTTGGGGAGATGCCCCGTGAACACTGTGGTTATTTATGGTATCCCGGTTTGGGTAATTCATGAATTTATGAGATCCCGTTTTGGGAGTTTGATGATTGACAATTTAGGAGTTGATGATATGCCATGGAAATGATTTTGAAATAAATGAGTAACGCCACAACTGATTGAATTAAATTTCGAAAAATTTTATCTGATTTTTCTAAAAGTTCGAAATTTTTTTAAAATCAAAGTGAGGCGTTACAGGAGTTGTCCAAATAACAGGGTAAGTTCTGAACATAGTTCCACCTAAGTTAGTAGTCATTACTATGAATGAATTGTGGACAAAGGCATAGGCCTAGTCAAGAACACATTCAGATTCAGAGTGTTTTGGCACACATGCTGGAAATAATGATACTAATAGGATTGGTAAGGTTGTTTGGGAAATAGGCTATTTGTGGGTACTTCATAGTAACGAGAAATGAGTGGATTATTTTATAGTACTAAAAGTCAGAAGGTGATCGTTAACACGAATGCCTGATTTTTAGAGGAATACTAAGTAATAAACCACAAAGCCCATTTGTAGAATTGTTTTGAGGAAAAGATAAAGGTGAAAGTTCAGCTTTGTTACCAAGTGTACAAATGTGATACCACAAGAAAGACTGCAACACGTATTTTGTGCTATACACTTTTGCAGAGGGAACCTTGTTGTAGTGGGAGGGTTGCAACACAACTCCATGAAATCATGACAATGAGAGAGCCATTGGACTCGGTCTCTAGAAAACACGAGATCATGATATTCATATTTTGAGAAAGTCTCGGACTTAATGTCTAATAAACTTGAATTCATCCATAGTTACACAATGAGTAGATCCAAGACAAGGATGAAAAAAGTTAGCAAAGTTTTAATGATTTCTTATTTGAAGTCGTGGACTCTAATCGGATCTGGGTTCTTATAGAATTAGCAAGTAGCATACGGGCTATTGGACGAAATCTGTAAGTAAAGACTTTAGTACAAGGCTTGTTGTGAAATAGTAGACTCAGAAAGAATGGGGTCTATTATGAGTAAGCTTTTTCGCTGATAGCCATGTTTAAGTCTGTACAAATGTAAGGCTAGTTGTGATATAGAAGACTAAGAAAGAATGGGATCTATTATGAGTTAGTCTTTTCACAAGTAGCCAAATTTAAAGCTGATGCCACTCATATGAGTTATGAGATTAGGCAAGGTGGATATCAAGACATTTTCATTAAGTGGGAGTCTTGTGGGAATATCTATGGAGCAGCACCCAGAAGTGTTCATTAGAAAAGGGCTAAGAACATCTAGTCAGTAGGATGAAACAGTTCATTTATGGTGAGCTGGTCATTTGGTTGATAAGGTCGAATCACGGATTCGATTATTCAACAAATGAGCATTGTGAAGTGGCGCAATGGAAGCGTGGTGGTATTTTTGTACTATGTGTTGACAACATTTGATCACTGGAGACAGTGTGAGAGTGTTGAAAGACACAATAGTACGGTTATCCAAGTAGTTGGATATGAAGGATTCGGAATCAACAAATATTCTTGAGATTGAGGATCACAAGAAAGATATGTTGTGATTATCCCGAATTTCATTATCCAGATACTATCATAAGGCTCATTCGAAATTTGCATGACACAAAGGCAGTTCCTTGTCCTCGGCAAAAGGAAGCCTAGTATGTGCCATGTGGTAAATGAGACCTGATGTGTATTATTGCCAAGGGCATAATGAGTAGATATCGAAGTAATCCTAGACAAGAGCAATTGGTTCGAGGTAGAACATATGATCAAGTGCCATAAAAGGGCTAAGGGTAATATGTAGGGTTACCAAATGAGTCATAAGCAACCTATGGGTTATAAAGGATTCTGATTTCTAAATCAGGACATGAATAAACAAGTAAAAACCACCTTATGGTTTGTTTCACTTGTGGGAGCCAAGCATAATGGAGGAATGTCAAACGGTAATACGTTGAAAATTCCACCATAAGAAACTCAATTCTTCTCTTCCCAAAAGGCGAGCGACGTAGAGATTGGATTCGCCATTGAACTAAAAATGTGAAACCTTGTCAGACCAAGTCAGGTCACAATTGATTGTGATGACAGTTAGTGTAGTTAAGACAGAAAGGAATCACTAGTTCATAAAGCAAGTGGCACATAAAGCAAGTACGCCAGTTGCAAAGGACTGCGACAGGGTTGATGTTTGTCGCCTAGTTACGTCAGGAGACTATGGTAAAATCCCTTTAGGATTGGCTTTCCGGCGAAAGCGGATGATGGCCATGTTAAAGGATTGGGAGTCGGATGTATGGCAGAAAGGACAACAATTCCCTGAGAATTAGATTGAAAGAAAATTATAGTTATTGATAGCCATGAGCATATTAAGAATAAGTGGGAGATTGTTAGATATGCTGTAAAGCTTGGATTTCAGATATGAATAATTCCATTTTGATCTGGCAATCATGTTTCGGTCAAAGTACATATGCTTGCAGTTTATTTATTTATGCAATCATACTCCTTGTCTTACATTGAGATAGTGTGGTTTGTGGTGTCTCGAAAAGATAGGTCACCTATCGGTTCCTTGTAAGACTAAACTATTCTTTCACAGTCTAGACAGGCAGTGAGACCCCTCTTGGAAAAAGACTGTAGTGTATTCTTGATTCAGTTGATCTTTGACTGGAGAACTACACTAGTACTTATGTTAAGTATTGAACAGGACCGTGGAAGGCTAAGATTATAAGACTCACTGATCATTGTTGTAATCTAGACCTTCAGTTATTGATACGTTCTCTAAAGCTGTAAGATAATATAAAATAGGCGTGTATATTCATTACTTGTTTATTTAATTTACCAAGGCTGATTCCTATTCCGTTAGGATGATGTACTCGGTACTTTGGTAAATGAGGATGTTTATGTGACGTGTTATTATAAATTATTTACGGTCACTATGTTCCAGTGCGCTGGATTGATGACGTCCCCGAAATGAATTCAGGAAGGAATATTATGTCAAGCCCTGCAGACAGATGTGTATCCGACATAAAGATTAAAGATCTGAGTGGCACTAGTTTCAGAAATGAATAAGAAGTTGTATATTTATTTTGGCAGTAATTTAATTAATCAACGGACGTTATATCTTAAACATAGGGAGGTAAATCGATCAATAAGATTAATAATAATCAATCAAGTGGAGGTTTGATTTAATTGATTAAATTGGAGCCAAATGGGGAGAGCAATAATAATATTCTAGTAGGATATATTATTATTTAATTTTATTAGGATTTTAGGAATTAATTTTATTCCATATTTAATATTCTAAGAGTTGGGGAATATTCCTTCTAGAATATTACATAGGGTTAGGAAACTTGAGAGTCTTCTAGAAGGTGATGTTACGAGGAAGGAATCATGACCTAGTTGAGATTAGCTTATGGAGTAGAATTAGGATTCTTTGGCCTAACGGGATAAGCCCATATTTGGCACCTCCTTAAGGTCCCTAATGTAGTCTATAGATACACCATGTCCCAACCTCTTGAGATGTACTAGTGAGGCACGATTTTAAGGTTCCTATAAGGAAGAGGAAAATCGTGTTCTTCATATATTTGAGAGTTAGGGAGTTTCGATTAATCGCTCCACCAAGATTAGTCGAAATAGGTGTTTAGGTAATCCATTAGAAGATCAAGGTGATATTTATCAAGCCTTGGAGATCTGTACATTTCGGCCAGTCACCGCCGCCGTCAGCCGCCGGAACTCGGCCCCACGCACCCGCACGCACAGCCCGCNCGCGCGTGCACCAGCGTCCAGCAGTAGACAGCACGCGGCCCAGTAGCCTGTGCGCGTGCAACCGAGGCCCAGCGCCCGCGGCCAGTGCCAGACCCGAGCTGTCCTGACCCAGCAATCCCAGTCCGCCCCAAACC